GGAAATTAAATGGAGATGGACTGGAGGTTATAAAGATGGAGAGCTGGAAAGGAGTGGATGAGAGGCGAAATAAAGCTCGCAGATAGGTGGGATTGGTTGGGGGTGTGTGGAGAGGGGCTTAGGCACGAGAGGAGGAGTGAGGGGCGCGAGGTGTTTGGAGACACGCTCAGGTGTGCGTGACTGGAAAACGGAGGGAGCTCTGCACAGAGACAGCTCCGGTGTGTTTGACATTGGAATACACGTTATTGGCAGTCTTATCGTGTTGGAACTTGCAACCTAATTGCCAAACCGTGTCGAGGACGCCAGCGATACATATAATCAAATAAGGTAAGATTACGATTTTTGCAGAAATGTAATGAAAAGACCACCGTGTTTCTTCACACACTTATCCCGCCTGCCCTACTCAATATTCTGCTCAGAGTCGCACTTTGATATCATTGTTCTTGCAGTATCCATGGAGGGACTCACTTGTAGTTACATCGGGACTCCTTATCCTGGAATTATATTAAGGTTATTTCCAGAGATACATCCCAATTGGACGGAGAGGGTTCAGAAACCTGGCTTTTATCCGTGCATGCTGTAACAAGGTTAATTTCAGACGGTGTCTCTGTCATGCTTTGCACCATTCGCTTGTACAAAATAAATAATCGCACGAGTGTTTCATTCTGTGCAAATGATGGACTCTGATCTCCTACTGCGGTTGACGGATGCAGCTCTGCGCCAGTCATTGTTGTTGTCTCCGTATTTCATTTCTCCTTGGAGAGAGGTAGCTTGCCCGGACGCTGCACATCCATAATACCAGTTAATGCATTGCTTTAGAGTGACGCTAAATGAACAACAACGAAGCCCCATAGACACAGCATGTACATCAGCTACAATGAGGTCGTTGAAACAGACGATTGAGATATGGCTGCAGATGAAGTGATTTGAGGTCAGAGCTTGTTTGGGATAGTAAAGTCAGGCGCCACTGTCTCACACCTTGTCTGGTGTGCAGCTGCAGCAGGTAGAGTCAATACTGTGTTGACACAAAGACTTTACATGTATGTTTTATTCAGAGACTGTGTTGTATAACATTACCAAAGGGAGATAATCCACAGTTCTCAATAGTGCGTGTACAGTGACATCATGTGATATAGATGTTGGCTTGATCACTACACTGAATTTTGATTCAGAGAGATTCTGATGGGGGGGTTTGACATCTTCCTGCCTGAAATTGTCCGATAAGGTAATTCAGTGAGTCTGATTAGATGGAATGTCTGACAAAAATGTATTTGGCTGTAGCAGTCAGGGTAGATGCATGTAAGAAACAAACATATGAATGTACTGTAGTGTTGGTGTCTTTAAGCGTCAGTGGTGTCAGCACCAGGGACAGCTCCTATAGTGGCGCTTAGGTAGTTTCAGAAACAAGGCAGCAGCCACTAAAGAGCAAAATACACGTTTGAACTTTTTAGATTTGCTGAAACGCCTTATTTCCTGCTGCAAAATAAAGTCCCCTTTCCACTCGGGAACAAGACACACATGGAGACAAATTGTTACATGGAAGATGAGCACAAACCTCCCCTGGATAACTGAAGCTTCCCTGAAATATTGCTGCTTCCTTGTGGTGTGTACACAACAGAAATCACAGTCCGACCCATTTTAGTTGCCGATGAATTATTTTGGAAGCATTGCGTTATGGAATAGCTCGATGGTGCCAATTTTCTCGGTTGAACTTGCATTCAGTTGTTATATTCCCAGGAAGATACAAACATTCTCTTTTATTTAAAGATGCGTTATCGGTTATTAAACTGTGATGCTGGTACTCCATTTTTTCCTTCATTTTCTGCTGGTAGTATATCATTCTTACAAGTGCACACGGCCAGAAGGTGATGAGATAATGTTCTCTTAAGATCACGTCGTTGAATGCACAATAACTATAGGGCATTCAGGATACCTCCATTTAAGCATGTTTAGGTCTCGATTGCGTCAGTTTGTGTCCTGATGTACATTTATCTAAGGATACTTTTTTCCCCCAATTCATTTAATTTGTCAAAACTTACAGTAAAAAACGTTTTACAGTCCAACTCAAGTCACTCAGACGATAAAAAGAGCAACAGCAATCTATTTTGAAACCTCCAGACGCTGACCCTGCTCCATCATTTATTACAAACAGCAACGTCTGTGCGTCACACAGAGCAAGACGGAGAAAATAAATGTTTGCTTACCAGGGATTCTTTTAGATAAATTGTAATTGTTATCATCCCTGTTTAATGAACACTAAATTAAATGCTTTCTCAACACGTAAAGAGTGTGAGTTTGCACTAATGAAATTGAATTAAAGCAAGACAGAGAGGGAGGGAGAGAGAATGCTGGTCTTTGCCTGTGATGTCTCTTTAAGTGTATAGAAGTTGATTTGGAAGGTTTTTTAAATGCCCTTGTGCGTAGTTTGGATAGAACTAGACATAAAAATGCCTAATAGCGTGTGCAAAATGTTTGTTTAGGGAATGAGGATTTGATTTTCTCTTCCTCTCAGCTACAGTTAGGCCTACGCAACAAGAGAGGGACACAGAGGGGGAGTGTGACAGAGGCACAGCATGTAAGCCACTGTGTGAGAGAGGCATACTGAAGAGACGATTGCAAATGAAACAGTGGCTCGTCTCAGGGAAAGAGAAGCGGGTGGGGAGAGGACTTTTAGGTGAGTGGGAATTTGAATTAATTGAGTTAGCAGTGTCATTTGTAACTTCACATTAATGTGGCAGTAGATCTAGGGAACAGTAGACAAAGACACAATCGCGTCATTGTGTGTGTGTGTGTGTGTGTGTGTGTGTGTGTGTGTGTGTGTGTGTGTGTGTGTGTGTGTGTGTGTGTGTGTGTGTGTGTGTGTGTGTGTGTGTGTGTGTGGAGATAGCCAGCCGAGTTTCGTTTGATTTGTTCATTATGGGAGCAGCAGTTAGGCCGGTTGCCATCCTGACACTGGCATGTTAATTATGTTCAGTGAGACTCTCTGTCCCCTGATGCCTCTTTTTATCACTCTCTTTCTTGTTCCGTTCTCATCTCCCTTTCTAGCTTTATCTCTCCTCCTCTTTATCTTTCTACATGCACTTCCCCTTTTGCTTCCTTCTCCCACGCCGCCGTTCCCCCTTTCCTCACCAAATCCTCCCACCTTCTGTCTTTTTGTCTAATACTGCACTCGGTTTTTCTTTCCTTCTGGCATGTCCCTCTCCTCTATTGCTCTTTTCTATCCAACACTACCTTAACCCTCAGTCTCCTCTTTTCCCCCCTGAGCTAACCACCATCGCCCCTGTCACGACCTTGATCCTGTTTTGCATAAGCAGTGGATGCCGTCTAAACTGTCCCTGCTCCCCTGTTGTTTACGCTCAATTAGATTGCTCCATTGCAGGGGAGTAAAGTATTTGAGTAACTCTGAGGTTAAGCAAATGATAAGACTTGCCCATTAATTCAGGGTTGGCTACTTTAATGTTTACTGATGTCCCTCCTATCTATGCTTGGTGTAGTTTGCGTAGCTAGATGTGTTCTCTAGGTCTGTTTGAATCATCACCTGAAAGCTTTTGCCAAATTATTTGTTTCTTCTTTCTGTAACGCAATTTATCTTAACCATTCATATTGTAATGATAACAATGGAAGGGGGTCACATCTGGAAAGATCACGAAAAGCCAGTGTGAAAGTAATAGGTTACAATCAGAGCAGCAGGAGAACGGGGCATAACACACCAGATTGATTTTGTTAGCGTCAAGGGGCAAACACTTGAGGAATGACATTTAATCGGCTGATAGAGTTTCTTGCTGCTCTCATACCTTATTTTCTTCTTTATCTTATCTTGATCTTCAAGGACCAAAACAAAAATAAATTCAAAGAAAACTGGGACTGTCAATGCTTTAATGCGACCTTGTTGCTGTCATGTTTTCACAAGTAAGTAAGACTCCTCACAGCAGCTGTGAGGTGTGATATGATGTTGTCTTGTGTTATTGATATAATGTTGACACAGTGGTGACTCTGCCCTGTCACAGTGATTTAGAGCGGGGCATTATGAAGAACAGGACTAGGCCAGGGATTGAAACGCCTCCATACATAAATCAAGAGCACTGGTGTAGAGCTGATTCTCTAGTCATCACATTAAGCTTCATTAAGGACAAACATCCATTGCTCATTGATAGCCAAGGCAATGGTCATTATGTTGATTTGATTGGCACAGTTCTCATTCCCATTTCAATTAAACCTCAAGTGTCCTGTGATTGAGATTTGCTGTGAAAGCGCTGCTCACAAAAGCTTTGCCAGGTGAGAGGGACAAATATGAACTCTGGCTTTCATTTATACATATTTCTCTATCATTGGTTTCTTAAAAAGACGAGGTGTGAAGGGAAATTGGTTATAGAAAAATGTAAGTCTTTGGAACCTACTTATATGAATGTGTCTGGATTTCATCTTAAACTTGACTGAAGGTATGATTTACCCAAATTGCTTGTGTTGAACTAAAATAGGTGTCTTGATCTGATAAAACGTTTGCCTGTCAATCTGAGGTTTGAGTGATAGACAAGATTAAAATCCCCCATCATAGTTGTTATTGTATTTCCCTATTTTTTCATGCAGGGTATAATATGATAAATTAAACTCAAACAAATCTTAATGCGTATAGTCAAGTCCTTATTTCATAGGATATCAAATGGAAGGTTATGAAGCATAAGCAGATAGTCTACAGACTGATTATTCTAGAAATAAATAGATACACTATGAAACTACAAAAAACCCTGTGAAGGCTGCATGCCTTTGAAATCCAGCAGCTACAATGAATTCTCCACTCCCAGGTTTGTGTGAACATGTCTATCGTTCACCTGTTACTGTGGAGAGCAACTCTGCCTTATAATTGGTGGTGCCAGATGTTGTTTCCTCCAATGAGACTGAGCCAACGTTTTCTTTTCACTTTCCCAGTTTGCACTGCTGCACCTGCCTCAGCTGTTGCAGTGATGGTCAGACCTTGAAATCTGAACGTCAACACAGAAGAAAGGAATATTTTCCAATCATTCACTCGCATAAACTCATCTGTGCCACAAGCTCCTGCCATGGCCAGGAAAAGTGTTCCTCGGACAAGTAGTTTCCTGTGAAGGCTCTACTCGACACATATGAGATCTGCTTCTCCTTTGTTACCTCAACGGACCAAGATGATGCTTCGGCTGCTGCTAGTTCTGTCCATTTGGGTGGGATCCTATGAAGCTGACTCTGTCCAGTCCGAACGGCGAGTTGTAGCACACAATCCTGGTGACATCATCATCGGAGCGCTGTTCTCTGTCCATCATCAGCCTCCTGCTGACAAGGTAATTTGGGGTATTTTGTCTATGTGTGCAGGATTGTTTGTCTGTCATTGGAATTCAGTGCAAACTTTGTGTTTTAATATCCTGTCTGGTTTTGAAGTGAAAACAATTTGAAAATGTAACAGAAGTAAAGGGATACAATTATAGTCAAATAATAAGGATTGGAGATGACTTTTGCATCTATGGCACTGCGAGTTGCAGTAGTATGTTTCCCTGCTTATTAAGTCCCAAAGCAGACATTACATTTGTGGAACAGGGTACCTCTGTGTGAGTCCATGAACCTTCATCCTCCATTAGCTTCCCCAGGAACCTTTAGCCACCCACCGACATTTAATCTTTTTTTCCATCTCATTACGGATAATTGCAAACTAGAAAAATAACTCTTAGACACAGCAGACCTGTGACTATAAAACTAATATTATTTGTGCAGTGAAGCAGCCATGTGTTAAAAGCCAACATTCTTACTGTTCATTCAGTCTACAATACAATTAAAATGCATCTAAATAATGAATGCCATCATCAGTAATTGCAACATTTACACAACACTGTTTCATAAATGCCAGCTCAATTAGACTTGATTTCTTCTTCGCAGGTACACGAGCGCAAATGTGGCGCGGTGCGGGAGCAGTACGGCATCCAGAGGGTGGAGGCCATGATGTACACGCTGGACCGCATCAACGCTGACCCGTTCATCCTGCCCAACATCTCCCTGGGCTGCGAGATCCGGGACTCCTGCTGGCACTCGGCCGTGGCTCTGGAGCAGAGCATCGAGTTCATACGGGATTCACTGGTCTCCTCTGACGACGCAGAGGAGTGGGGGGGCGGAGGGGGACTAGGGGGAGGAGGAGGTGGCGGAGGAGCGAGCACGGTGAAGTGTTCAGACCCCTCGGCCACTCCCATGCGGGGGAAGAAACCCATCGTGGGTTTAATTGGACCGGGGTCAAGCTCTGTGGCCATCCAGGTCCAGAACCTTCTACAGCTGTTCAACATACCACAGATTGCCTACTCTGCCACCAGTATGGACCTCAGCGACAAGGTGAGACCAGGAACCTGTGGATACATTTCATTCAAGTAGCCCATACATGTTTAAGAGAGAATGTGTTACTGCTACCTTTATTGCTACTTTAATTGGACACGACACATTGCCTAACTGGATGATTGAAATGTTTCTGAATAATCCTGCCATTGATTTAATTTCCATTATTTTCAGAGCCTTTTTAAGTACTTTATGCGGGTGGTGCCTTCAGATGCCCAGCAGGCAAGAGCTATGGTGGACATTGTCAAGAGATACAACTGGAGTTATGTGTCTGCTATACACACCGAAGGTACTAACACACACACACACACACACACACACACACACACACACACACACACACACACACACACACACACACACACACACACACTCTCCTTTCCGAGCGCAGACATGTTTTTTCCTTTTCTGTTCTCTCTGCCACTGCCTCGTATCATGCTGCCTTGACTCCTCATCATAAATTATCTGGATCTTTTTTCCCACAATGAAAGAAATTTGAGAAAAGTCAAAGTTCTAAGTCCTTGATTTCTTTCAAATGTACAATTGTGAAGAAACTTGTGATGCTTTGCAAGGAGAAAAGGCAAATAAGTTTCTTCTGAACAAGATTAGAGTATTTTGAGTTCAAGGACAAGAATCAGGACCAAGACAAGGGAGAGAGGAATGTCATTGACAAGATGGATCGCAGCGGAGAGGCAGTGTTTTTTGAAAGAGATGAGTTTTCAGCTTACTAACGTAAATGTGATGAAAATTGAATGATTGTTGCTGGGTTGATGCCAGGAGGTTTATGAAGCAGAAGTATCTAAAAATAGCAGTGAGCAGGAGTTTGGCAGGTACTCTAGTGGTTGAATGGGGTTACAAAAACAGGTGGTTGTCACACCACCAGAATAAAGCCTCTGAGAATAAAGGAGAGGACATTACACCAAACACCATACAGAAAAAAAAAAAAAGCTTTCGACCTAATAGTATAAAGTATCTATTAAAAATGTATACATCCTCAATGATGAATGGCCGGGTAGGAACACGAGAAGATCTGTGCAAACACATAGAAAATAGGTTTGAATGGGATAGGAAATGATTGAATCTCCGACTTATAATTAGATCATAGCATGGAGATGTACTTTACAAACTCACTTACTCATAAGGTGTTAGTAAGTTGGACTACTTGTGGGAGACGGTGTGATAGTTTGACAGCTACAGGAACTGGAGGACAGTGTGTGTGTGTGTGTGTGTGTGTGTGTGGCTGTGTGTGAAGCTGTCTACTGAGAGAAGGCTTGTTTGACCTGAAAGTGTGTAATAAAGAGCAGAACACACACACACACACACACACACACACACACACACACACACACACACACACACACACACACACACACACAGAGGACTGGCCTCTGGCATTGCCTGAGGGCTTTACAACAGCATTTGAATTGAGCTACGAAGGGTAAGTGTGTGTGTTAAAGGTGTGAGAGAGTGTTTTTGTGAGGTATTTGTTATCGTGTGGTTATAATGTAGGGCAGGAATTTATAAAGAAGCAACAATATTGCAGATATGCACTTACTGTAAATAACTGTCTATTTTTTCAGTATGATTAATATTGTAAAAATAACACACTTTACCCTAATAACATGTTGTTCGGTGGTAATTAAACCTTGCAGAATGATATTATTGAACTTAATTCTTCCAATTGAAAACGTGAAATCTTGAGACGATCAGATATTTGTGTAAATCTGTCTTCTCTTGTTTATGTTAATGATTGGACACAGAGCTTCCTACAGATCTGTAACAATATCAATGTCAGAAATAACATTTGTCTTGTGAGTGACATTTTTGCTGTCTCTCATGAGACAGATCTGTGTGTGTGTGTGTGTGTGTGTGTGTGTGTGTGTGTGTGTGTGTGTGTGTGTGTGTGTGTGTGTGTGTGTGTGCTTGTGGTCATGAGTGCAAATGTGTGGGATTGTCGGGGAAAGTATTGGTCTTTATATTTCTTCAGACAAGTGGGTTTGACCTTGGAGCTGGTCCTCAAGGTCAACTGTTTCCTCCTCAAACACAATCAGTCTCAAACGAGGAGAAATGGAGGGTGGCTGAGTGAGGACAGAAGGATTGAGAAAGAGGGAGAGAGATACGAAAGGCAAGGGAGGGGAGAGCAGGGAGGAAAATGCGGGAAGAGGGAAGGAAATGGGAAGAAGAGAATTGGGGGATGAGAGACGGGAGGGAGGAAGAGGGAATGGGGAACACCGTAATAACAGTGCCAGAAATGGTACAAGGTGTGTATGTGGCTGTGTAATGCTTGGGATATATAAGACGAAGAGTAAAGAAGGGGAGGTAAGCATATAGATTAATTCTCTTTATTAACATTTAGCATCTGGAGGGCGATAGAAACTGATATGGAAGAAACTGAATAATACATGTTATATCAGCACAGTAATTACATTGATATGATGAGGTAATATTATTGGACAGGGGAATACCATGTGTATTCCTTTCATGCCCCAATACATATGCAAATGTATGCATGTTGAGTTGGACAACCGTTTCACTTCCATTTGTAACGCGAAGAAGTCTCTCTAGACTAGTCGTGTATCATCAGTCCCTTTTCGTCCTTTTTATTCAACATTTTTCATCTTCAAGCTTAAGGGTCAAGTTCTACAGAAATTAGAAGTGAGTCATAAAGAAACCAGACACACAAGATGGAGAGATATATTCAGATATATGTATAGATCCGGCAGTGGCTGAGTCAGTAGGGGCTTGGACTGTGAGCCGTAGGGTCGCCGGTTCAAGTCCCCGACCAGACCTAAATATGGAGTGTGGACTGCTACTTGGAGAGGTCCCAGTTCACCTCTTGCACTGCCGTGGTGCCCTTGAGCAAGGCACCGGACACCCCCCTTCCCCCCTCTTTCCCATTGCTCCCCGGGCGTTGTACAATAGCTGCCCACTGGCTCCTAGTACTAGACTCCTGGTACTAGGATGGGTTAAAAGCAGAGAACACATTTCACTGTGCGTGCTGTGTGCTCTGCATGTGTGACCATTAAAGAGGGTTTCATCCCTCCCAATTCTATTCTAGATAGATGGTGACTATGCAGTGCACGTAGCGACTCAAAACTATGTTACATAAAATGGGATGAAAACAGTATCGAAGGAGTTGAAAGGCAAACTGGTTAAAACATAGGGGTATATAATAGAATATTTTTCACTGATATACGATCATTTTCATTGAGCTGAGGTCTGTGGGACACATCATTAGTAGGAGAGACTTCAACAGAAACACAGACGCCTTTTTCTTACAGAAGAAAAGTTTGAACAGTTCCTGGAATAAATGCCTCGAGCACTTTTAAGAGAACAGGGTGTAGCTGAAGGTGCTCAGTCGCTTCACTAGTCACTAGTCACAGGAAAGGGAGGTGTTGTCCATTAGCCTTTGTCAGCATTCTTTCTTTAAATGCGCCACCACTTTTATTGTTGCTAGTATGTACATGCACCCTAGTGAATAGATCAAATGTGTGCCTATTTGGTTATGATCAGATATTTTATCATGAAAGAAACTAATAATGATTAACACATGTTTGAAATTGGGTTTCAGTTTTGCTTTAGTAGAGAATAATTATTATCCTCGGCTGTTTCTCTCTTTCTCTTTCCGCTCTGTGTCGCTCGGTTCAATTTCATTCAATTCAGCTCAATGGGTTTTATTGACATACAATTTGACACATGTCACGAGTACTCTCCTCCAACAGAAATTGATCAATCTCAATAAGTCAAGATGTCAACCTTTTCTCCACCTCTTCTCTCACTCCCTTTTTGTCTTCTCATTTCTTTCTCTCATTTGTCTTGAATGACTCCTCAGCTCCTCCGTTTTCTCTCTGTCTCTATAGCATCTCATGCCCTGTGCCTCTTTAACTGCCATGGCCGTTGCAGGATTGAGGAAGATGAAACTGCGATGGGTTCGGGAACACAGTGTAGAGAAAGGTGTAATGATCGGGAAAAGGAGAAAGACGGAAAGTGCGCAATTATTTTTTTTATTTTTTTGGTTGTATATTCAAAGATGGTCATGGGCCAGTTTTCGTGGGTCCCCATATAACAACAGTTCTTGTCTCTTTTTAATGAGCCTCGGTCTCAGAACTACATCTGCTCTGATAGCAGATCTCTTGTTCTGCAATCTGGAATCCATTGAATGGCTTCTGTGAAGATGGATAGATGGCTTGGCAGCTGTTTGGCTGCCCAGGCTCTGTCCGCAATTTATACAAGGGAGCATTACAGAGAGATTTCCTGTTGGCACAGATGTAAGTAAGGTCATTAAGGGCTACAAATGGCTAAACTGTTGCCATGTTAAAATGGATTCAAAGCATTCACTGGAGGATGTTGTTTATTATACTGGGTCTGTAATAATTTGCACCTGTAGAGATATATGTGGGCCTGCATACAGCATCACAAACAGTGTGTTCATGATGTGTGTTTGTTTCTCTGTCCGCGAACAAGAATGGTGCATGGGCACAGACATGGTTAATTTCTGACTCCAGAGTTTGCTCAGTAGAATGAAAGCATGGTGCAAGTGGATTTGGTCATTGTTATAAACTGCTGATAAACACCCTGTCTGTTACCTGAAGCTATTTCCATAAAAAAAAGAACGAGACAGGGTTGTGTAACGCTTCGGTGCGAGGTCGGTACAGCGCGAAAAGGATACATTTGTTTTCATTTATTTTAAATAGGCAGTAAAGTGCAAGTGCCAAGGACGGATAAAATCCTTCCACAATTTTTATTTTGAAAAATAAGGAATGTTTCAAACACCTGTATATTGCACTGAACAGACAAACACGCATTAGGCTGTACAGCTGAAAAGCATCTGAAAGTGAAAATGCCAAAGGAAATAGAATTATACAAGATAAATGTGTGCTTTAGGAGGAGTGTATCAATTAGATGGCTATGTTTGAACATTCAAACCACCCACACATTAATCATCCCGGTGATAGGAACATCTTAGCACTAGAGTAGCCTGATTTATGCATGTCTTTTCAGAGCCTACAGCGGTGGGCAGCTTCGACACATAGCCCTTGTTTTATACCTCTCTCTCTCTCTCTCTCTCTCTCTCTCTCTCTCTCTCTCTCTCTCTATCCTATTCTATTCTATTCTATTCTATCTGTTGTTGGAGCTGACCAGGAAGGAACTTTATGAGTTGAAGACAGACAGCTAATCTGGATCTATTCTGATAATCAATTGACTCGGAACAAAAAGGAAAAACCTTTTGAGTTTGTTTTGTGTGCATTTCTTAAATCTAAATGTTGGTCAAAGTCATTTGAAGAAAATATTTGAACAATTCCTCAAACAAGAATATTGTACCTTTGAGTCTTTGCTTGTCTGTGTGCAGAGGCGTGCTGTTTTGTGGTAATGTGTGCGTTCCATTAGCTGTGTAATCTTGTCTAACACAGTGTGGGTGTCAGTGAGTGTCAACCCCTGGGGTATTTCTGTGTTTGACATTTCGCTACACATAGTTTTAGCGCTCCAGATGTGATATGGGGTAGTTTGGGGATTGAGGACAACTTGGAGAGAACAAAAAAGAGGGGCAGAAAGATGATGCCCTTTACTGAATAGTGTTTATATTTTTACTGCATGTTGTTTTTCTGTTCTCTGGGTAAAAAGGGATCTAGGGTTAAAAGGAGGAGAGACAGACAGACAGACAGGAAGGGGGGGGGAAGGGAAGTAACATGTAATTGCATGTAATAGACCTGATAAGAGTGACAAGAGGATGAGAGTGGTAATTGAGAAGGATGAATAAAGGGTGTGAGTTAGAGGGGAGGGATGGAAACGATAGGGGGGGAAATACACTGAAGCACCTGTCTCTGCATCTTAAAATGTACTGCCTGATGTGCTGCTAGGAGAAAGCGGGGGTAGAGAAGACAAGTATCAAGAGGAGGGGGAGAGGAAGCTCCACAGAGGGCAAGTGGGAGACCCTTCAGCCTTGCATGTTGTAATTTATTGCAATATATCAAATGAATGAGTCGAGGAAGAGGGATAAAAGCAAACGAGGGTAGAGGGGTGTACACGTGAGGAGCACACAGTGAGAAAGGATTTCCTATATTTCTGCACATTTTTACTTTAAGCTGTTTTTGTTCTTTTTTCGTTTGCCATTGAAATGATATATATAGTTATAGAGATTAAGGACACGCAGCTTTGTAGAGGGGATCAATAAGAGGTAAAGGGGACAAAAGCACAAAGGGTTAGAAAGGAAACCGAGAGAAGCTGTGAATGTGTGATCTCTGTGCTGGATGTCCCAGTGGGTTTTTTTTCAGTGGGAGGTGATGAACCACAGGAAGGCACTATATTTGAGGAGAGAGTTTGAGGTAAATCTACCCTATGTGAAATAAGATACCTACATTTTTTTTCTAAATATCAATCCTGGGTTAACGAATGTGTGCACATGAGATTTTTAATATGTAATAATCAGTGATGTTGATATAATGACTAGGTGGGTAATAGAAGTGGTAGTGGTACCTATAGTGACAAATCCCAATATTGCTATAATATAAATGTATGGCCTCCTGGCCCTAGTGTGATGTGTTCTGCTCCAAAATGTGATGCTAACCATGGTCTACACAGGACATATTGGCTGTAAGTTGTGTTAAGGTTAAAAGGCCTGTGAGTGGATATGAGGCAGGATTTTAAGTAATAGACGAGGTGGGCAAGCTGAATTGAAACAATCAGATCAAAGTATCAAATGTTGAAAAGTGAATTTAGAGAAGTCGATTTGAAGCGAGTGTAAGATTTTCAGAGGCAGAAATGAAGTGATAAAGAGACACATGACAGGATTACTGAGTGAGAGAGAGATGTCTCGCACATAAAAATCCCTTTTGAGACCGAGTGAAGTAGGTTACAAGCTTTATCGATTTTGATGATGGTAACAGTTTGAATGCGTGCACGCGTGTCAACATGCATGGGAAAGACGGGCTGTACCATCTGTCTACGATTCCTCTCACTGAGACACTAATTACAGGACTTTACACCTCGCTCCACCACACTCATCATTGGCCTGACTACACACACATAGACTCACTGACACACACTGAGTTGCAACAGCGGTCAGGGATTGTGGGATGTCTTGCCCTATCTGCTTTTTTCAGCGTGCTCTGCTTCCCGCCATTGTTTGTCTTTTTCCCAAAAATATGTTCCTCTTTATTTCATCACTCTTTATCCTTTTGACTTATTTTTACTCATCAGTGTAACTAGAGCACGGATAAATACAAAGAAGATGTATCAACCTCAGGCATTATTTAAAAAGAACGGGGTTAGAAAGAGATGATTTGAATCTTTGATCCTATCAAAACAGAGGAGGGGGACAGGTAAAAGGGAGAGGAAGAGAAATTAAAGAGGGGAATCCTATCATATCCTTTGCCAGTGTGTACAACCATTCATTTGCATAAATTCCAGGTCACCCACTTTCTCTGGCAAAGACACGGGTGCCACTGTGGGGAGACGCTTTCTCTGACACAAAATGTAGCTTTAATGAGATATGCAGTAGCAGACGAGTTAGTGCAGTGGGCATGTTTTTGAGAAAGACAAGGGATCGGGTCTCAAACGTCCTCCTTTTCCACCAACATTTTTTATTTACCATGCGTGATAGAAAATGACTTTGTAGTTTGCACAAGTCAGTTGCAACTTGAATGGAATCAATATTGTTCATTGTCATTATGTATTAACTATGAATTATATCTATTTAACCATCTATCCCTCCAATCATGCATTTACCTCTGATTTTGAATCTGCTGTTGTTAAAACAAAACAGAATTCAATTCATTTCCCCTTTCTTTGTTTTTCCAGGCAACTACGGTGAAAGTGGAATGGAAGCATTCAAGGACATGGCAGCTAAGGAGGGCATCTGTATCGCCCACTCTGGTAAGATACTCGGGTCACAACAACAAGAGTGAACTAATCAATAATAATGTGGAATATCTAGTCAAGTAAGAAATGGAATTGTATTTTAGTGGGTGTATAGTTTGTGTAAGTGTAGCAAGCAAACAGCAATAACCTACTTTTTTTTCAAACACCAGGGTGTCCACAGTTCAGATAAATGTATCTGCAGCTTAAAGAGATCTACCAACAACAAGACATATATTTTACAACAAAAATCAGCCTGTTTTTTATTACATGGTGAAGACCCATTTCACACTGGGTGTCAGATGGTTGAAACTAAAGCATAATGAAATAGAGCAACTCAGACAAAGAAAACCCCCAAAGGAACTCAACACATGAAACAACAGAGATCCAACATATCACATTCGTCACAGACCACATTTGTATTTGTCTGACATGTTATCCCCAGGCAAAATCTGGAGCAATGCTGGAGAGCAGAGCTTTGATCGGCTGCTGGAGCGGCTGCGGGCCCATCTGCCCAAAGCCCGGGTGGTGGCTTGTTTCTGTGAAGGCATGACTGTCCGCAACATCCTCATGGCCATGAGACGCCAGGGACTGGTGGGAGAGTTCCTGCTCATCGGCAGGTAGGTGCTGCTACACATTTTAGCTCTAATGTATTGTAATGTTAATGGACCATATTACCATAAATGCATGAGGGATATGCAGTACCGGGTTTGCCCCAGGACAGTATTAGTAGTATTGTGATGTGTCACAGGATCCTTCGTTTCCTCTGTTTCCTCTGTGCCTGTGAGTTTTGCTCTTTTTCTGGGAAAGGAATATGATCAGATTGGAAAAAGCAAGTTTGGAAGATGTGTTTTGTAACTAGTGTGTTCCATGTTATATAGCCAAGCAGCTACACACGCTGAGCATGCACTGGATGTTTTAGAAGGCAGATGGAGAGGCAAAGCAGGCTCTGTGCTCTTCTCTAAAATAACCCTCTTAGGAGAGCCATTAATGATCATAAACACAGGGCTATTAACACAAAAATAGGAGCACAGCTAGTAAATATCTACTTCAAACTCATTTCAACCAAGTTCGATGCCTAACATGTGCATCCAGCTGGTGATAATTGTTCAGCACTCACCCCCAGATCCAGATGATTGTGACTGGCATTCGCCTATTACACTTCCAAAAAGAATTGGCATGTGTTATTTGCTGATTTTGTAGCATTTGTATATAAATATATTTATAATTAATAACCTTTAAGCAAATAACTGATCAGCTTAATGCTTCCATTACTGTAATTAGCTGAACAAGTTGGACAGATTCAGACCTCTTTCGTTTTGTAATCTGTTTAATTTTTGTGTTTGTTTAATTCACAAATGTGCATTTATATGTTATCTAGTGGAGAAGGTCATTTATCTGGTGGTGTTGGCCGGTTGCTACAGAAGGGTACAGGAAATCATGGCATATACACTAGGAGCAATGACTTGACATTACCACTGAGCAACAAGTGAAACACATTCTATGGCTGTCAAACCAGATCATTTGTAGCTCGTGCTATGTTTTATAACTCCTTTTCAAAGACATGAATTCATTCGAAACCCCTGTGACGAGTCAATTGAAAACTGTAGGTTTTGCCATGCCTCTCAACTGCATGATGTAAAATACTTGAATAGATTGTATATCCAAACTGTACAGCATGAGACATGTATTACCCTTTTAAGAAAAACACACATGCTGTTTTAAAATTTGGAGGCGGTTTTCACATTAAGCCTTGTTCTCACTTAGATGAAATCCTCCTACAATTTGTGTGTGTGTGTGTGTGTGTGTGTGTGTGTGTGTGTGTGTGTGTGTGTGTGTGTGTGTGTGTGTGTGTGTGTGTGTGTGTGTGTGTGTGTGTGTGTGTGTGTGTGTGTGTGTGTGTGTGTGTGTGTGTGTGTGTGTGTGTAGTGTGTGTGTGTGTGTGTGTGTGTGTGTGTGTGTGGGGCATTGTAAGTGTGATCATGGTTTAAATCTTGAAGTCTTCATTACAATAACTTTGAGCCATTGCAACAGGTTCCAAGACTTATCTGAACAGTATCCTTTAAAACTATGGTTCACTTCAAGCTTAAATGACCTTTGCCCAGGGAAATGTGCGAGTTTTATCACTTACTCCAGCCAATATGCATAAAACAAAGTTGACTTCAATAGTTTGAAACCATGGTCATGTATTTTGATTAAAATGCAATGTATGTGATTCTATCCTACTCTTCCTGCAGTGATCTGCTGTGTAACTAAATCATAGCCAGCATCATTTGTGTTGTCATCGCCACCATGATGCTCATTCTCATCACCCTCGTCTTTCTGATCATCTTCATCTACCTACATCATCATCATCATCATCATCATCATCATGCTGACATAGAGGTAAAGTATGAATTCATACTGAACCTGCTTTATGTTTATTGGGTTTGCCTTGCCACTAGAGATGAAAGTGATAACAGAGAAAAGATCATAAAACAGAGATGAATGTTCTGTCCTCTCAGAACAGAAACAAAGGGAAGGATCAGCTTCAGTAAAAGGCATACCTTTCTTTCATGGTTTTATTTTATTTATTTCTGGGAGAGATTCTCTCAGTGTGTAGTTCAACAAATGTTTTGGATTTGTGGCCTAAAGCTACAAAACTTGAATAGGCCCAAACATTGCCCTCCTCCGACATACAGTGTGTTAGCCTTTAAACAAAAACACTTCCAACTGGCCCAGTCATTGGAGTTGCTTAATAGCTAGTGGTATAAAGATTTTTAAGCTCCCATATGTGAATTAATTAAATAAAGAGAATCTGAAAAAAAAGTAAATTCTGAGTCGCAGTCGGAGTGCTTCAGAAACCAGGGTTTTTTTATAAGCAGAGGTGTTACTCCAAAACTGCATTCACATGTAATGCGAGTTGCTTTTTGGTCACTGCAACGTTGGGTGCAGAGCCTTGCGGTGAATCCACTTAGTTAAGATTTATTTTCTATAGTTCAGCCCCTGCTAGCCTGCATCCCTACATACAGCAGCATCTGATTGGTTGCACATCGAAAGGTCAGCGATGAAAAAGGTCAGAGTTGAAATACTTTTGAACATTGAGGGCAGCGCTCCTCGACAGTTTCGAGCTTCCACCTAATAGGGCAGCACCACTCTCACAACATCAACGCAGATCATGTTTACCGCCTGTCTTGCCAATGCTAAAAAGAGACTAATTCCAATAATCCAAGTACATGTTGTTTGAGAGTCCGAAGCTGGTTGCTGGTTTGTCATTGTTGCTTGCATCTGTTGTGCATAGCACCTGCACGGAGGACAGTGGGATCAAGGCTATAGTAGGATCCTCCTTCACTTTGCACTCATTTGGTGAAGCTCAATGCAAGGAATCCCCTGCAATTAGAGAGAAGAAAATGGGGAAACAATTCTGAACAAATAAATGCTAATAATGGATACAAAAGACAGATGATGAGACCAGTTATGGTACACCTCACTTCGGCAAAGCAATTTGCAGTTTGTTCAAATTAAACAACAAACAAAATAATATTATTGGATATAAAATCTGAGCTGTTATACTGGACTTTTAGCTTCCTTATTTAATCAATGGATTCCAACAGCTTCCTTAAATTATGCACATCATCTTAACACCACTTTAACACTCTCTCACAATGGTCACTTGCCAAATGAACATTTCTGGATCTAAGTGAAAAGCATTTAAATCAACCAAAGCCCTCACTCCTTTCTGTCTTTCCACTTGTGAAGAAATGGCTTATTAATATTTTTTATTGCAGTATATGTTGTAGATCTCTGGCCAATCTGTCTTGATTATGTCGGTTAATTGAATATCAGCCTTCGTTAGCGTCAGTATCATAATGACTGTAGTTGTAAATTGCAGATGGTCACGGGTGGGTGCCCTTCTCACTGGAGGTCTGTGGAAGGAACTTCTGATTATCCCAGCTGGGCAGACACCCATTTAACACCAGGATAATTACATTACCGAGAGCACGCAGAAGATGATTCAGTTACCTAGGGCAGATAAGTGTGGTCATTACAAATATGGACTGCTACAAGATCTCCAGATTGCAATCATTTGAGATGAATGTTTGATTTTCCCTGATTCTTTATGGCTGCAACAACATTGTGATATAATGCGTCCGCATCAAAATCAATCATTTGTATTATTCGTTTTAATTAGTTAGATGAAGGCTTGATGACTCCTCAATTTGTTTGTACATTTTTTGGAACTTGATTCATCCTCGGACGTCTTAGTATAACCTTATTTTGAGCAACATTTATACTGTTCCTCTTATTAAAAGATAAAACATAACCCCCTCCTGCAGCTAGTCTGAATGATTCATCTCTGACACGGCTTATACCCTGCTCCTGATAAGTTTATTATACAATAAGAAGTAATATTATTGACATCTGACATAAGTTGGTTTCACTGTTTTTCACTATGTTTCTTGGTTTAAGATTATGTACTTCCTTGTCTACAAATAATCCTAAACACACAGTGTATTGATTGCTTCTGTCCTATAATTCCACTTGGCGCCAGCAAGTGACAGACCCATAAATGAATAGCCTTGATTGAGATAAATATCCAGCCACATGGGACACACAAACACTCACACTTACACGTACACACACTTATGGGACACATTCACATTGTCATTATTCTACTTATATCAAGTTAACAACCTCTTCATCTCTCTTAACGCGAAAAATCCTCTCCTTTCTCAAATTCAAATTAGGTCCGACACAAACACATCTGTTTCAGCTGTCATTCTGATGTTTTGCATTTCCTCCTCCCATAGTTTTTGCAGCCATTCATAGCAACCGCTTCGAAATACCTATCGAGTCTATAGTTTATTGTTCATCCACGAAATGACTTAAAAAATTGCAGATTGTGTGTGTGTGTTCAAAAACCGTACCAAACAAGGCTGCTACCTTCAGTTTGTGTTGGTTTGTGACGTTAGTTTTTAGATGAATGGCTCATTGCGCTGACCCTTCCTAGAATACATTCCCATCCTGGTAATGCAGGGCATACTGTGATAATAACTGACGTACATTATGCGACTTCACAGCAACATCTCTGTGTTGTATAGTCAGTCATTTCAGTTGGAAATATGATTCACTCCTAAGCGCCGTCTGCCTTTCACCTGGTACTGTATGTCCTCTTCATCAGTGCTATTTATAAAATGGCTGTATTTTCTGATTTGCAGCAACACAAATTGCAGGGAAACAATCTCTGTGCTGTGCCTGCCCTTGATAACACATTGGTTAAAAAATATAAATACATATCACTCAATACTTCAAAACCAATGCTTGTTTGCAACTCCACAGTTCAAGCAGTGTAGTTGGCAGCCAATAGGAAACCACCGCTGGATTCTCACCAGAGGACAGATATTCAGTCTGCACAAAAGAAAAAGCTATTCAGCTGAATGAACTGACAGAGAGTAGTTTGAATCAAAAGTCAAAAAGCCGACTCTCTGTGGAGATCACCCAGCGCAAGTCTGCACCCCTTCTGCATGCTGTTGCCATGGAAATATCCCCTGCCATATTTGGATAAATCCAGCATAGCGGCTGGGTTGATAAGTGGCGCATGCGTATGTGGATATGTGAATGGCTATATGCATGCGTGGGT